GTTTATATTACATTATATATTATATATAATATATATTACATTATATATTATATATTTTTACATATTATATATTTATATTTATTTTATTAATCTAATTTATATTATATAGTATCTATTGATTATATATTATATGTAATATATAATATTAATATATATTTATATTATATTATATATTATATTATATAATATATGGCAATATATTATATATTATATAATATATGGCAATATATTATATAATATATATTTATTATATGATATAAATATTTATTATATATAAATATCTTATATTATTATTGTAATAAATATTATATGCTATATATAATTCAAATATACATTAATAAAATATATAAAAAGCATTATATTATATATTAAATTACGTTATATATTATATTTATATTTAATATTGTTAATATACATATATAAACAAACACAGTACCCAGAACTTTCTTAACACTCCAGCAGGTTATGAAAGACCCATAACTTATTTAAACCTTTCAAAACAAAACATTCAACTTTCCAGAAGATATCTTTCAAAAAAAACAAACGCGTCCTAAGACAATAGAAGTATAGAATCCACGCTGCTTTTCTTTCCCCCAATCAAACATCTTACATTTCCAAAAAAATCGACATTCTCAAGTGGTATCATGAATTGGTAAACAACCTTTTCACAAATGACCCACCAGAAAGCTGTATTTCAGGTACATTTCAAGCCTTAAAACACTTCTCAATTACTCAAAAGGTAATAAATAAATTAAGATTTCCAAAATAGAAATAGATGTGAACCACAACAAATTGATCAAATGCAACAAACATATTATATGGACTCTATTAGCAATCCTGAAGGACCTATCCCATGTCTTCTTAGGGCTTGAGAAACGGAGTACCATTAGAGACCAGCCAACAATATGGAGGATAATTTCAAGTAAGCAGGACAAATCTATCTCTATCATCCTTGGGCTGCATATATTTTCCCTCCTTTTACATCTCATTTACTTTTGTTAAATTTTCAATTTATGGGCACTCTGTTTTGGCCCCCATTTTCTCGTCTTTGTTATTTTTGTTCCATGTACTCTGTATTGCCCCTTATCTTTTTTTATTAGTACTTCTGGATTATAACCCTTGGCAGAACATGTACAGATTTGCCTGAATGGATTCATGGCATTTTTCAACAAACAACAATCATGAGCCACCAGGCGAAGATTTGATTAACATGAAAATTATGAAAAGAAAAATTTCCCCTACATCAGAATCAATAAACAAAAAATAACCACTGAGGAAACCAACTTTGTGTTACTCAACAGAATAACAACAACTACGACAACAATAAATAAATAAGTTTACAACAACAACAACAGCAATAACAACAGAATAAGTCCATCCAAGAACATCAATTCAGGAAATTCCACAGCCTAGAACAACTCAACTATCAGAATAACATGCATGGGAAACCCCATGTAGTCAAGGGCATCCTAGTTGATTGAAAATCTACAAATGAAATGATAATAAAACAGATAATCCAGCTTAATAAGTACAATTTCAAAATGAGAAGGTAATAGATGATTAATGTAGAGAAAAGGAAAAAAAACAAGTTCAGAAGAGAAAGAGAGAGAGAGAGAGAGAGAGAGAGAGAAAGAGAGTTTTGAAAACCTCACCTACTAACCAGTTCAGACCTCCTGTTTCCATCACTGATATAATTGCCTTCTGTTGTAAAGAAAACCGTCTTCCACTAAGATCCTTACCCATTAGGCTGCTTGATGACTCCTCCAAACTGCCCTTTGCAATAGAAGGATCCATATGAATGGAATACATTGTAGCCTTTTCGTTCACAGTTAGGTACAAATCAATGAAATTTGAAATAATAGAAACCACGTAAATGAGAATGTTCTGTAAGGATCTCAGCTTCTGAGAAAGACCCAAATGCTCATCTGAAGCAAGGGCACCAGCAACTGATTTAAGATGAATAACTGCAGCTGCGAAATTCAAATTCACACTATTAGATTCAAATCAGATCCTATCAATAGCATATCAAGAGAACAAAAAAAAAAGATATCGAGTTAAACAAAAATTCTTGTAATAAACATTGAAATTCCTCACACTTAATTTGCTATTAATGGGCAAACGACCACAATTAATATCTTATACATAAAAGGGAACAAACTTGTACAAAAAATTGTGTTGAATATAACGGAGTTCACCGCAAAAATGGTCATAGGCCTTGAATGCCCAAAGATGGGAATATTCATAGAGCAACAGCCATAGAAGACTCTGTCAGAAGAGAGACTTCAGGGCCAAGCTATAAAATGGAACCCCATTAACTGTCTTGAAGGGAAGCATAGCATCTACATTTGGCAAACACAGCGGCTTCATGCTCAAGGGCTAGGCAAAGAAGGCATAGGTCATAGTCTGCCTGCCTCCACATTGATGCCTAGGCATCAAGCACGCAGCCTTTCACATTCAGAAACACAAGAAATGGCAGTTGCAAATTAGAAGATACCTTTCATAAGTGCTGCAAGCTTTTGCATCCCCCCATAGACGATGAAAACTCTACGATTATGCATAGAGCGAGTTATGATTACTAAGGCATCCAGCACATTGAATTCTTCAGGTCTCTCAGATAATATCATGGACATGCCCGGTAAGTCAGAAGTTGATTGTGCTGCAAAAAGTCAAACAAGTTAAAAAAATATATGCAACTATGAATGTCCTTAAGTCAGTAACAATTCGTTGAAGAATTCTATAGACATCGGTAAAAAAAACAAGAACGCCGCCAGGTATTCCAATACAACATGAACAAAAACCAATATCTGAATTGCCATAAAGAAAGAGTCAGGAAATTGAAAGTTTTTCGATTATACTTCTTTGACACCCCAGACATTTCCAAGAAGAAGGGCCAATTGTTCTAAATCATAATATCATACATCAGTAGAATGCGCACACAAGGATGTTACAATAAAGAGAGGTTTCAGAGCATGCACATCAAAGTTGAACAAAATAAAGACGGCACACAAGATGATAAGAATAATCAAAAGTGCCTCTGTTCTGAGCTAATGGGCGCAAAGTACAGATTAGGGTATCATAACTATGAAACATAATAGACCTTTTTTTCTGGGTAAGTACCATGATAGGCTTACACAGCTCAATATGATTTCCAAGAAGAATAAACATCTCGAAACCTATGTTCTACTATTTCTTCTAAAGCAAAGAGTAGCTTGATCTCCACATCCATATTATTCAAGAAAACAAAGAGCTTCACTCACATTCCGTGACAAGACCTGTCAACCTTACAAGTTCTTGGGTCAGAACAAGAATAACTTCTGTAGGGTGACCGAAAGAGCAGCCAATGATAACATCACTGCTGGTCGCTGCAGACACAATGGTATCAGGGCTAGATGTAGCAATTTGTTTTGGCTGGCAAGAAAGTTCAGGCTTCCAGTTCTTGTATACCAGCAGAAAATGCACAAGAAACATTTGCAGTAGTTTCCCTTGTTCTTCCTGCACAAGGAATTTCTTAACAAAGTTACAAGTTCAAATGTAGCATAAAGAAACTAGTCCTAAATAGCATAACCTATAAAAAGGAATTAACATAGTCTAAGAAAATACCCCAACACAAAATTAAAATAAGTATCATGATATGAAACTGATGTAGTGAGTTTATATATATATATATATATATATATATATATATATATTCTTG